TCCGGAGAGGAGAATGGAGAAGAAGGGATTGCAGCGTGGCCATCCCCCCCTGGGGGGTTATTTCTTGCTTTCTATCTTTCTGTCTCTCTCTGTCTGGCGAGCGCACATGCCCTATAGCAAAAAAAATTCTCCAAAAAAAAGAAAAAAATAAGAAGCTATAAATAGTTTGTCCCACTCACTCACATACTCCCCCAGAAGTAGAATCCTGCACATTTGAAAATATGAAAAAGAGTTTTATAAGTAAACCATGAGTTGAGTCAAAAAAATTAAAAACGATGATAAAAACATATAGAACTGAGTTATACACATGGACTACTATTAAAGCATATGGAGAAGATTTATAGTCATATATATTCATGTTGAAATATGAGGATAAAATAGTAACCTTTGCATTCTATATAAAAAAATTAGAAAAAAAACTTAAATTTTCCAATAACTATGTTTAACTCTACACAATTTACAATACACATTCAAATATATGTACAACCATAAAAGAACAGATGATAATAGAATATAAAATATTTTCTGAGCACTCTTACTAACTTTATAAATCTATCTCTGTCTTACCACCAAAATTAGAAGTGGATAGTACAACAACTGAAAAATACTACAGGTCGATTTCACTAGTATAAAAAATCTTAAGTAAAAAATAGGTCATTAAACCCAAGTTATCATATTCCCATATAACACACCATAACTAAGTAGAGTTTATGCTAAGAATGCAAATATATTTACATTGGATATACTATTATTCACATGTAACACATAAGTTTAAAAGAGAAATTCATTACACATTCCCATTGCAGGGGATTGAATGTTCTTTGCATTTTTCCCACTGTGGTAGAGAATATTGCTAAAGATTTATTTAAATTCAGTTATTCATTAAGTCTTTCAAAAATCTCAACATGTAAAAGTTTCCCTAAATCTGTAGAAACCTAGTGCATGTAATTGTTAGTGGGTAAGACACAGGGAATAAGCCCTGGGAATTGAGAAAATGTTGAAATTGGTTTAGCTCTCTGGACTTCAGCCATTTTCCCCATTCAATGAATCAGTAACTAATGACAAAGAATCGCCATGGGACATCTATATCTTCCCATGGTCCCTGTTCAATATCCAATTCTAAATGGAATGGAGAAGTGATAAAATGGGGAAAGGATCAAATGGAGTGCTGAGAAGAAGAGGAACAGAAAAAGAAGAATTTTACTTAAGTCAATATTTAAGATAAGTCAATATTTAAAATAAGTTGATATGTAAGCTCATACACATCTGATGCAGTTCTCTTACTGGAGCATTTGATCTAAAGGAAGCCAAAATCATCTTATATTCTCAAAATCTGTAGATAACTGAATCAGGTATATGAATCAGGTATATATTTTTTATTTTATGTCAACCACTATTTAATCTATTTGTTTGGTATTTTTTCTTTTTAAAGTGATAGTAAGAACTTAACTACAGGGAAAAAAAACTTGGAAAGATGGCTTATGGTTGATATTGAACTGATGATTTTGTTCAAATTCACGACTCAACCATAAAATGTTTGCATCCATTTTTTTCTGGTGCATTAAGTTTGATTTTGGATGCGATTTTTAAAAAAGTTCAAGAACAATTTCTATAATATCTAGCTTTTCATTGTTGTTCTAGGGTTTTTTCCTTTGAGATACTGAATATCTCATAAAAGCAAACTAACAGTATTTTATAGATACATTCATTTCAACTCTAGCTCAGTCCAGCACCTAGATGAAATGACATTTAGTAGAAGAATGCAGTTATCAGTATATGGGATTTAGATTTTTCTTTGTCTTCTGCCCACTCCTCTATAAATTTTCATTCATCTTCATTAAAAGACAGTTGTTATTTTATAGGTGACTCACCAATTTAAAAGAGATGGTTGAGACCAGCAGATGGAATAATGATTACATGGCTAAACTCCCATGTAGTCGACCACAGTTCAAGTCCTGGAACTGGTGACCTAAAACACACTGAACATGTGTGTGTGAGTGCCCAAAATCCTAAGAGGAGAATGGAGGAGAACGGATTGTGGCATGGCCATTGCTCTTGGCTATGAGGGGTGGTTGTGATTTCTCAGTTTCTGTCTTTCTGTCACTGTCTCTCTGGTGAGTGCACACAACCTATAGCAAAAATCTCTCAAAAAATACATCAAAATAAAAGAGATGGATAAGAGAAGTTATCCAATACTTTTTTTAAAAACTCATGCTCATTTTGATAAAAAATTTCTTTCCTAACAAAACAGTGTTCAGAAGGAATGTTTATGCTCACCTGAGTGGTAACTATTGATCTATATAGTTTTGTAAAGATTTCATTATAGTTATTTTGTCATAGCATGCATTGTTCACTAACTTGATTATTTATTTATTTATTTATTTATTTATTTATTTATTTATTTATGGAGAGGTTTTTGCTATAGGGCATGTGCGCTCGCCAGACAGACAGAGAGAGAAAGAGAAATAGAAAGCAAGAAATCACCCCCCAGGGGGGATGGCCACGCCGCAATCCTTTCTCCTCCATTCTCCTCTCGGGATCTTGGGCACCACGCTCACACACCTAGCGTGAGTTTAAGCCACCGGGTCCGGGACTCGAACCATGGTCAACTATGTGGGAGTCCAGCGACATAGCCATTACGCTAACTACTGATCCCGAACTTGATTATTTTTTATGCTCAAGTTTTTGGAAGAAACTTTGTAGAGAATAATATAACAATAGTTCATTCAGCAAATATTATTAGAGGATTTTGCTCCAAAGAATAAACTTTATTACCCCCCCAAGGTAAAAAGCACTATCTTTTAATATTTCAGGAAACAAATAAATATAACCTTCCACCTGTTTAACCAGTAAGGGTTATTATTATGAAGTTAATTTATAATACATTTAGTAATAATTTTACATTAACTTCTTAAACCAATCTTCTCATTTTTCAAGTTGGATAGTTTTGTTCATTGCATTCTCTTGAACCATACTTGACAGATTTCACTTAGATACTGTACTACTGAGAGGTGTCACTTCTGAAGACTTGGGATAGAGTTCTGAACATATTACATTCTTGTTACATAATATTGAACATATTAAAGAATACCTTAACCTTTTTGAGTTTCAATTTTCTTTTATTAAAAATAAGGATAACATACTAGTCTTACTGATTATTGTACAGTTAACTGTTCATATATTATATATAAAAAGAATTTCAAACTAAACAGTTTTACAAACTGACATCCTTGGTTTCATAATCATGTAAAGACTGACATTCAGGGACCAGCAATTAGCGTAATGGCTATGTCTCTGGACTTCCATGTAGTCAACCGTGGTTTGCGTCCCGGACCCGGTGGCTTAAAACTCACGCCGGGCGCGTGTGCGTGCGTGCCCAAGATCCCAACAGAAGAATGGAGGAGAAGGGATTGCGGCGTGGCCATCCTCCCTTGGGGGTGATTTCTTGCTTTCTGTCTCTCTGTCTCTCTCTCTGTCTGTCTGGTGAGCGTGTGTGCCCTATCACACACACACAAAAGAAAGACTGACATTCATCACTCCTAATTATAATGTAGAACATTAAATGTGAGAGCCTTCTTTCTTAAAAAGTAATAACAAAAACAGGCAAACAAAAAAATTTTAAAGCTAAAATGAAAACCGTAGCACACTAGTGCACAGTGTGAAAGGGGCCACTCAGAACTATTGAGAGATTCACCTACCTACTGTGTGAACTATATCCTAGCCTTTTTTTCCTGGATTTAAGTCTTAAGCAAATTTCTCTTAATATTTTTTTATTTTGATCTATTAAAACTAAAACTGTTCTTATTGAAATTAAAAAATGCATTTAAAAATACCTATTTAATGACTGCAGTAAGCTATATAACCCCAGCTTGGTGCTTCTTTATAGTATGTTCATTTTTTTTTCTTTTTTTGGAGAGGTTTTCACTATAGGGCGTGTGTGCTCGCCAGACAGACAGAGAGAGACATAGAGACAGAAAGCGAGAAATCAACCCCTAGGGAGGATGGTCACGTTGCAATCCCTTTTCCTCCATTCTCCTCTCGGGATCTTGGGCACACACGCACATGCGCCTGGAGTGAGTTTTAAGCCACCGGGTCCGGGATGCGAACTGCGGTTGACTATGTGGGAGTCCAGTGACATAGCCATTACGCTAACTGCTGGTTCCCATAGTATATTCATTCTACTCACTGAGGATTATGCCTAAAATTAGATATGTGTTCATAGATATGTATATATCACCTGTGCTTGCTATTGAAAGTATCTAGATTAATTAAAATCTTTAGTGAATCAATAAACAGTGTGTGTGTATGGGGAGGGAGGCATGGAAAAGCAACTGCAGATACCGGAGACAGTGTGGGAGGAGGGTGAGAAATGGCAAAGGGTGAGAGGTATGGAATGAAAGGGAGGGGGTAAAAGAAACAAAATACATAAGAAACAAGAAATGGAAAATTATTTGTTGATGATAACATGTAGGATAATATCCTTGATTGGGCCAATATACAGTGTATTCTAGATGGAAAATATCATGTTGTTTATTGTAATGATGTACATTGAATGAATGTAAATGAATACATTTAAAATAAAAAAATTAAAATTCTCTAAGAATTGACATTGCTTGTAGATAATCCCGAGTAAATAATAAAAAGCACCAGAACAAGGAAAGTAATGAAAGAATTTGGATGCCTTAGCATCTCCTCTTAATTAGGGTACAATGTAGTTATTTTATTTTTTTAACCTCAAATTTAGCCCACAACTTTATAAAATGTAGTAACAGCTCTGTTTTATTTACTGTTGCTACACCTCACAGCTCTCCTTTAGTAATAAGGATAATCAAGAGAAAAATACATATGTTAAAATTACAGATAAGGCATTTCACACTAGAGTAATTACAAAGCATTTTGTATTGATGTTGAGCAGACACTTCAAGGTTGTGGTCTGCTTTTTCTGCTCTTGACATTAACTCATTAATTGTTTCTCTTTCTAGGCACTTCTCTTCTTGCCTAAGACTATGGATCAGGGGAATTATTCTAAGGTGACTGAGTTTATGTTATTGGGACTCTCTAGTTCCTGGGAGCTGCAGTATTTCTTCTTCATGTTTTTTAACTTCTTATACATCGCCATTGTCCTGGGCAATCTCCTCATTGTTCTTACGGTGGTATTTGAACCTACTCTGCATACACCCATGTACATTATGCTCACTAACCTTTCTGTTCTTGATGTTTGTCTGGCCACTTATGCAACCCCCAAGATGATCCATGATTTCCTTCATGAAGCCAAGATCATCTCCTTTGAGGGCTGCATGGCCCAGATATTCTTGCTCCACGTCTTTGCTGGTGGCGAGATGGTGCTCCTTGTAGCCATGGCATATGACAGATATGTAGCCATATGCAAACCTTTGCATTATACATCCATCATGAACTCATGCAAATGTACAAGCCTGGTGGTGGGCTCTTGGGTCATTGGCGTTATACACTCCTTGAGCCAGTTAGCTTTCACCATCAACTTGCCCTTTTGTGGGCCAAACATAGTGGACAGTTATTATTGTGACCTCACTTTGGTCATCAAACTTGCCTGTACAGATACGTATACCCCTGAAGTGTTGATGCTTTTGGACAGTGGTCTTATGGGGATGACTTCATTCTTGCTCTTGCTGATCTCCTACACAGTCATTCTGGTCACTGTGCGACGTCATTCCTCAGCAGGCATGGCCAAGGCCCGCAGCACCCTGACTGCCCACATCACGGTGGTGACCCTCTTCTTTGGACCCTGTATCTTCATCTATGCCTGGCCTTTCAGCAGCTTACCAGTGGATAAAGTATTTTCTGTGTTCTCTACTGTTTTTACGCCTATACTGAACCCCATTATCTACACATTGAGGAACAAAGAGGTAAAATCAGCTATGCATAAACTGAAGACCCAGTATATAAACTACAGGCTTCCTTCCCAACTCTCACTCGCAAGAATAAATTTGTTGAACTGAGTAGACAGGAGGAAACTTGAGAAGACATAGATTAGCTTTGTGCATGTGTATGTGTGACTACCACTGTTTTTGAAAAATATTTGTTTAAAATGATAAATACAATGCATGTTCTTTGTTAAGAAACCTTTACATACATATATGGTTATATGTTCTCTAATCATACTTGTATTTGCTATAGTTTTATAGTTTGTGAAAGTATTGCACCATTTAAATTGTGTTAAAAATTTTCATAAAAAGTTAGATGCATATTCATATTGGCTGTAAGAAAAATGTTTTCTTTACAGTTCATAATATTCCAGGGAATCTATATGACTGAGTTCCATCACTAAATATAAAAATAATAATCTTTTTTTACATATTTTACATGAACAGCTTGTGCTTTCTATTAAAAAGATCATAGACTAATTTAACATATAAAAATAATTTTTCAAAATTGTGAAGCCACACGTTTTTATATCCACCCGTGTTTTATCTTTTCCTCCTTATATATTACACTTAATAGACTTCATGTATCACATTTTTTTGGCAGCTTTATAAAACCATTTGATATTAGTTAGGTATCATTTAATTTTTCATCATTTTGTCTCCAAAATGGTTTGGTCATTAAAATATAATAGTTTAAATCCAGAAAGACTATATAACAGAACACAAGAAGTTTTAGACATTTGGGTCCAGAAGATGACATGATATTTAAGGTGCTGGACTCCCACATGGCCAACTGTAGTTCAAGTCCTGGACATAGTGGCTTGCTTTCTCACTTTCCCTCTTTCTCTCTGGTGAGCACATGTGCTTTATAGCAAATTTTTAAAAAAGTAATAATAATAATAAGTATAATTAAATAAAAAATGTTTTAAAGGAAGCTTTAGTTATTTGGCAATGAAGTCACATAAAAACAGATGACTCTGTCATCCATGTTCATTACTAGACTGCAATATGGTGTCTGTGTACTTGTTTAAAGGGCAATAGACAATAAGGTAGTTATTTCAGCAGTTAACATTAGGATACTTAGGGAACAGCAAATGGTGTAATGCTTATGTTGCTGGAATCCCACATAGTTGACTGTGGTTCGAGATCCAGCCCTGGGGCTTAAAATTCATGCCGGACACATGTGAATGCATGCGATAAATGCTGAGAGGAGAATGGGGGAGAAGGGATTATAGCAGGGTCATCTTTCCTGGGAGGCTGATTTCTTACTTTCTGTCTCTTTGTCTCTCTCTGTCTCTCTGGCAAGTGCACATGCCCGATTGCAAAAATCTCTTTCTCAAAAAAAAATTACATTTAAACTATGATGTTGGTCACAGTATTTTGGAACCTCACCTTTTTTTTTTTGGAGAGGTTTTCGCTATAGGGCGCATGCGCTCACCAGACAGGCAGAGAGAGACATAGAGAGAGAAAATGAGAAATCACCCCCCAGGAGGGATGGTCACGCTGCAATCCCTTCTCCTCCATTCTCCTCTCGGGATCTTGGGCACACACGCACACGCGCCCGACGTGAGTTTTAAGCCACCGGGACTGGGACGTGAACCACGGTCGACTATGTGGGAGTCCAGAGACACAGCCATTACGCTAAGTGCTGGTTCCGAGGAACCTCACCTTTCAAGTCAAGTATAATCTATATTGTTAATAAAAAGAGTGCAGCTAGACGAGGTAGAAGAGAGAATGCAGCCTACTTTCCTTCCTTTCCACTAGCAGGCCAGGAAGCACCGTCCTTCACTGGGTGATGGGTCAGTATGCCTCTGCTGCTGCCACCTCCAGAACATGCACACTAGCATTTACTTAAAGGCTTTTCTTGTACCGTTTCCCACTACCATGAAATGGAGTGCTTTATCCCCCAAGCAGAACATTTACTGAGGCATCGTTGAGAATGAGTGCAGAGGATTCTGAGAGACGGTTAGTGGTGGTGGTGGGAGGGTGTTGGAGAGAAAGTCAAAAGACAAATTTTGAGTTCATACATTTTATTTATTTATTTATTTTATTCTAGGCACCTACATCATACTCTTTGCTTTTTTTTTTTTTTTTTGAGAGGTTTTCGCTATAGGGCGTGTGCGCTCGCCAGAAAGACACAGAAAGGCAGAGAGACAGAAAGCGAGAAATCACCCCCCAGGGGGGATGGCCACACCACAATCCCTTCTCCTCCATTCTCCTCTCGGGATCTTGGGCACACACACACACGCGCCCGGCTTGAGTTTAAGCCACTGGGTCCGGGACTCGAACTGCGGCCAAATATGTGGGAATCCAGCGACATAGCCATTACGCTAACTGCTGATCCCATCTTTGCTTTTGATATCCTCCGTTCCATGGAATTCTCTTCCTTTTAACTGTTGGCATGGTTTATCTCTTCACTTTTGTCTTAAAGAAATCTCGGTAGACTCCTCTGAAAGCTTCATTTCAAACAACATTTTCAACAATATTTATCCCTCTTTTTGCTTTATATTTTGCTTTTTAACACTTATTAGAATATACTATGCTACATAATATATTTATTTATTTTTAATTGTCTCCTTCTTCCAATGGTCAATTAAAGTTTCATTGGAGGCAGCGGTTTTCTTTGATTCATTGCTTCATCTATTAAACTTGAAAATTCCATGTGTATTGTAGGTATATGATAAATACTGCTGAGTGAAAAGGCTTTTACTACTAGTTTAATATGAAAAGAAGAAAAGGAAAAAAAGCCACAGTGAAACTAAAAGCCACTCTTTTCTTATCTGTTTATTTATTTCCCTAGTCCAAAAAATAATCCAAATAGAAATGTTTTCCCAAGCAGTAATATATAAGCAGGTACCAATGATTACCTTAGAGATCTACAAGATATTCCTACTGTAGGGGATACCCTTTTTCTGATTCTGCTCCTGGCTGAATACAACCGTCTACTATGGTAGAAAAGGTGGGATTTACTGGCCAGGAGACATAGTTTTAAGCCTCAAAAGTTCTCCATAGTTTAACTACCTTGAATTTCATTTCTTTTTTAAATTTTTTCTTTTCTTTTTTTATAAACTTATTTATTTTACATACATTTACTGCACATCATGATAGCATACAAAATGTGATTTTTCCATTGAGAACACGCTGTATATTGGCTTAATCAAAAATATTACTGTACATGTTGTCGTCGAATAATTTTCCATTTCTTCTTTCTTATTTTTTTCTTTTCCCTTTGATTCCCTACTTCTCACTCTGCCATTTCCCACCCTTCCTCCCACACTGTCTCTGACATCTAGAGTTGCTTTCCATGCCTTCCCCAACACATACACACATTTTATTGATACACAAAATATCTTTTTTTTTCTTTTTTTTTGAGAAGTTTTTGCTATAGGGCACGTGTGCTAGCCAGACAGACAGAGAGAGACAGAGAGACAGAAAGCGAGAAATCACCCCCTGGGGGGATGGCTACACCACAATCCCTTCTCCTCCATTCTCTCGGGATCTTGGGCATGCACGCACATGTGCCCAGCGTGAGTTTTAAGCCACCGGGTCCGGGACGCAAACCACGGTTGACTACGTGGGAGTCCAGTGATATAGCCATTACACCAACTGCTGGTCCTTATACACAAAATATCTTAATTAATCTAAATATTTTCAATAGCAAGTTCAGCTGAAATATACATATCTGTGAACACATGTCTGACTTCAGGCATAAAACTCAGTGAGTAGAATAAACATACAATAATGCAGCACTTAGCTGGGGCTATATAGTTTACTGCAGTCATTAAATAGTTATTTTATATATATATATTTAATTTCAAGAAAAGCAGTTGTAGCTTTAATAATTCAAAATAAAAAAAAGTTAAGAGAAATGTGGTTAAGACTTAAAGTCAGGAAAAATATTAGGATTCCATTGAAATAGTAGGTTGATGAACCTATAAACAGCTCAAGACAAAAATCTTTAACGTGTAGAAGAAGCAGGCATAAATAAAATATTTTCACCAACCAAAATAAAAATAAGCACTGAAGTATTATTCAAAGTGCAATTATGGGAGCGCAATATTTAAAAGAACCATGGCAAAGCTTTTGTATCAGCACATCTGGAGCCTCTGTTCACCTCTGTGAGGCACCTGCAAACACTGGCAGAGCTCCATGGGTCAGTTTGAAATTCTCTGGACTAGAAAATTCCTCTGACTTTTTCTGGCCTTTTATTCTCTAATTTCTTCCCACTTGTTCTGATCTTCCTCCTTCTTTCTTGACCTTTGCTTCCAATCAATATATTAACTCTCAATATGCGATCTGTGAAATGTTTATTCCCTTTGCTCTTCTCTGTCTGTACCCAACCTACAACTCCAATAGGCATGAAGGCACTTCTGTGGCAACCTCTAGCTGCATCTACTCACCTTTATGTAACCTATTTTCCACTCCAGTCAGTTCTGCTTCCCTATACAGAATCCTAAAGCATATTCTCTGGCACTGAAACCATAAGCAGTATTCCATTTTCCAATAAATTACAAAATTTTATGACCTACTACTATTTTTTGCAATATACTATCTAAAACTCTTGGACACAGAATATGCTTTAGCATGGTGGAGTGGTTTTTCTTGATCACTTCCAGTTTTCTTCATGCACACCTTTATTTTATTTCATATGTGCTATGTAATCTTTTTCACTCATTATCTCTCACTCTAAAACTGGGACCAGCAGTTAGTGTAATGGCTATATCACTGGACTCCGATGTAGTTGATTATGGTTCGAGTCCCGGACCCGGTGGTTTAAAACTCATGCCGGGTATGTGTGCGTGCATGCCCAAGATCCTGAGAGGAGAATGGAGGAGAAGGGATTTCGGCATGGCCATCCCCCCTGGGGGGTGATTTCTCGCTTTCTGTCTCTCTGTCTCTCTCTGTCTGTCTGGCAAGTGCATGCCCCCTATAGCAAAAACCTCTCCAAAAAAAAAAAAAAAAACCTTATGTCTTATTTAAGAACCTTCATATATAATTTGTCTGTCTTCCTTCTCCTTTGTATTCACCCCCCTCTTTTTCCTCTACCCTCTTCCTTCCTACTTTTCTCTTTCCTG